TGTCTGATTTAACCTCACTAAATAAAATTAAACAAAAACATTAATAATTGCTAATATGAATTAAACTACTTTTTTCGTATAATTCGATAAAGCAATTATATCAAAGATTTCAACAATGATGTCAGATGAATCTGAAAACGATGGCGTCTATGTAGACCAATTAGAAAAAGATATCTATTATAAAAAATATAAATTGTTGTTGGAAGAATGTTCAAATTTGCAAAGATCTAATGAAATACTGGTATTTAGAATACAAGAACTGAACAGAATGACAAAAAGAAGACTGAAAGACATAAAGTTTTTTAAACAAAGGTTACTGCTTAATTATGAAGAAGACTGGGCAGTTATCCCAAACACAGATGAAAGTATGGTTGAAGAAGATGACAAAAAAGCAATTCAGTTGATACTGCCTGGAAAGATCAAAGAAGAAGTAGTGGATGAAGATGAGAAGGTAGAAAAGAAACCTGTGAAGAAGAGTACAAAAAGGAAGTCCTCGAAGTCTGAAAAAGATCCTAATGCACCAAAAAGACCGTCAAATCCGTTTTTCCAATTTTGCCAAGAACAAAGACAGATATTGATGGAACAAATAGCAGCAGAATTGAAACCTGGTGAAGTTGAGCCTTCAAAACAGGAGCTGACCAGGCAGTTGGCTATCAAATGGAAGACTTTGTCAGGGCCAGATCGAAAAGTTTATGTAGATAGGTATGAGCGATCAAAGGAAAAATATGCTGCAGAGCTGGAGGAGTATAATATGAAAAAATGATTTGTAAACTGTGATTATTGTATAAATGTGTCCATAGTTAATTATATTTAATGTATCATTTCTTGTTTTTTGAATTTGAATATTGATACCATAGAACACAATTGTGCTATGTCCACTTTTTTTTTCTCTTAAATATTAGCAACACTAATTTAAGATAGAATGATACAATATATTATTTCAACTGCACAACTGATATATGTCCAAAAATAATCTAAAGTTAATATAACAGCATTAAGTAAAAAAGTATTATGTCCACCTTCAAATAGTATAGGGGTGCACATACATACCATGTCCACCTGCTAGATCGTTTAAGTGAACATTTGTGCTATGTCTGGACATATATCGTTTGTGTTATCAAGACAATGATAAACATATTATTAATATAAGTTGTCACTGACTGCCAGCAACGAGGCTCTGGCGTTTTGACCAATCCTTTTTATCTGTCGGCAACACAGTTCCTGTGCTCTTGACATGAGCCATTTTATAGGTCTAATTCTATGGTTATGGTCTAATATTTTGCCTGCAACAGAATAACCCAATATTTTTGTAGGCACAGTCAAAAAGTTTAATAGTGTTTGTTTAAGTTGATATTGCAATTTTAAAATGTCTTGACACATCCATAAAATTATAGTGATATGCAGGAATATAGGATTTTTAAATAAAACAACTGACAATAATATTGTCTACTTAACCCCTATTCAAATCAATGGCAATGATATTACAACTGAAACTTCAGATATGTTGTCAGCTGGTATAATAATATCAGAATTGATAGATGATCGATCATCTTCTTCTGTATCAGAATTGATAGATGATCATCTTCTAAGAGTCAGTTGTATTTGATAAGGCTTTTTCCAGACTAATATTATAGATTAGCCAGCAGTGATCAGACATAGAGGTGTCCTCCAATACAGATCTACAACTGTTTGGCTATGAACATTAATGAAAGTAGATTTAATGCCTCTATTTAAGATATACAAATCTTTTCTAATAATATAGTTATAAAGAGACTTATCTCGTGCGTTGTTGTCTCTACTGCCCCAGCCTAAATGGTGAGAGTTGGAAACACAGCCGATAATAAGTTCAGACAATGGTCTACCAGATCTTATTTCCTTTGTTGGTGGTAGGGTGGCTGCATCTGAGGATAGGTAGACTGATGCTAGTATCAACTCTCTATTTTTGCCCTTTTCCATGGGCATTTCACTTTAAGTGCAGTTACGTCTAAGGTGCAAGACTGCATCATGGGGGAGGCTTTGATTTTCCTGGGAACATAATATTGTTGATTGCTTGGTAAGTGGAGAATTTGAGCAGTTAGACTGCTAAAACCAGTTATTTTGGTATTAATTATCCAAGGTTCTTGGATTAGTGCTATTGCATCCTCCGTTACATCCTGGCGGCGATATAGTGTAATTGAATAATAGTAACCTTATTTTTTCCTAAGTCTTTGCCCATGGCTTAGGTATCGTTCCGTTTCTTTTAGGTGTCCATTTCCTCCTCCATTGAGGAGAGGGCAGCCTTAGTCATTTCGAAGCCGTCATCTCCCTACTGTGGGACTAGGGGTGTATCAGAAACCGTCGTCGACTGCCTCGTGAGTGTCTGAAACTCCTGGTTCCAAAGAGGTATTCTTCACTTTGTTGGTGCTTGTTTTTAGAATCAATGAAATGAAAGTGTAGCTCAGCCTCATTGACCTTTTCCTAAGGGCAGCCATCTCATCGTCTCCGATTCCGAAGACAAACAGGTGTCCTTTAGGATCCTTTTTTACCTCATGGTGGAAGGTGCACCATTTCGTAACTGCCATGTATAGGTTTTGCGCCATTAACCTCCGCAGCACTCTTTCTGGGTCATCAGAGGTCGAAGTAGCATCCTTCGGGACCCAAAGAGAGACTTTGGTAAGTTTTGGGAGCTATCCTTACTGATAACAGCCAGTGATGCTTCCTCCCACGGTTTGAGATCAGTTTTAACCTTTTCCAGCCATGCAAGCGCCCAATCGTCGTCATAGACTACTCTGACGATCTCACCCGAGTAAGTCCACGATTTGAACGTGGGTCCTTTTACCTGGCTGCTGGAGGTGGACAAGATAGCTCTGTCCAAGTCCAATTCCTCGATCAGGCTGCTTTTAATAGGGCTTGCCCGGAGATCTTTGCACACGGGTTTACCTTATCTATAATAGCGACCTTAAGATGTCTTAAGGCGGCTTCCGCAAAGCTTTGGGAATGCGCAGCAGCGTTTTTACCACTGCGAGGCTTATTATGCTTCCGCAGCGTGCCCTTCGTGGAGATACTTGGGTGAAGGCGCTTCACACCAAAGGCTGTCGGTCCCTGTCCTCTTTTGAAGGTGGAACCGTTGTCAGCCTCCGGTGTGGGCACCTTCACCTTTGTTTTGGTAGGGGCTGGAGAGGAATGAGCTGCTCCTGCGGGTGCTTTTCCAATCGCCTCTCTGGCCTTCCTCCTTCTTTTTGCCTGGTGCCACAAATTCTGCGGCGCCTGGGCCGATTTTCCTGAGGTGGTCCTTGTCCATCCTCTGCTTTCGCCAAAATTTGAGGTGAATATTGCTGTTCATTGTTAGCTCCGGCTTCAGGCTGAGGTGAACGTCTTGGTCCAGCCTCCGGTTGGTCCGAGATTGGAGGTGAACATTGTTTGTTATCATTTAGTTTAAGTTTATTTCCTAAGAACCATAATTGAGCATTGGAATTTACATACTCAGACGTGGTTTCTAAAACTGAACGATTTTTATCAGAAAAAAGAAAAGTAGTGTCATCTGCAAATAAAACTGTTAAATGGAGCCATGAAATTGGACAAGTCATTAACATATATAAATAATAGAGGGTCCAGAACTGATACCTGTGGAACTCCATGCTTTATCTGTTTAATTTCAGAGAGACAATTTTCGTACTTGACTGCTTGGTATCTATTCTTTAGATACGAAAAATGCAGTTTTTTTAGCAAAATATCATGGGAAACACAGTCGAAGACCTTTTAAAGATCTCACTGCGTTATGGCAGAGTGGTTATGCTTCTCAATGCCATCACCTATGGCACTCACTACATCTAAAAGTGCATGTGTTGTGGAACCCATATTGTGAACTAGTAAAAAAGTTATTTGTTTCGAAGTACGGTATAATTTTTTCGATTATTTTACTGAATATCTAAACCTTGGAAATTGGTCTATAATTGTGTACAAGGTAACAATCGCCCTTTTTAAAAATAGGAACAATCTTGGAGTATTTAAATAAGGTTGGGAATATCCCGTTTAAAAAATACTATTAATGAGATGGGTTAAAGGTTTCGTAATTATTTCACTAATGCTTTTGATAAAAGATGCGTTTAGCTCATTAGTATCCAAACAATTTGAATTTTTTAATGTTTTTATAACTGCGAATACTTGTTTGCGAAATGTTGATTTCCAGAGAAACAAGGTTGAAAAACATTTGCCGGAAATTGATCTTCATCAACATTTGTCATAATATTGTCTATACTAGTGGCAGATGTATTAGTAATTCTAGTAGTCATGGGTTGTTTGTTTTATTTCAAATGATGATATTATAGAAGTCAGCTCACTAGTATTTGCCGGTTTCGCAATAAAATTAATATTAAAGTCTCCCAAAACTATTACTTTTAAATTTGGCCTCCTAATGGAATCTAATAAATTTGCGAAATTTGTAAAAGAAGACTTAAAATCGTTACATTTACTCAATCTATACACTGCTAATACAACCGTGTTAATATCTTGTAGATCAATTCCACAAAATTCAGATTTTCTCACTGAATCACCGTTCTTTTTATTTTTCCTACAGAAACTGCTAGCAGGTAAATACCCATCGATGTTTATGTATCGGAGATCTGCTTCACTCTGCCAGTGCTCTGAGAAGCAAACAACATCGAAGATAAATTCCAACAAAAATAAATCTATCATTTGTACTTTATTTGCTAAACACTGAACATTAACATGGAACATACTCACCAGGCTTTCGCTATTCAAAATATGAATTCGTGTTCCAGGAACTTCTAAACTTCCTACGTCTCGATCTAGATTGTTTCCATTTGTGCGGACTGTTGCATTTCCACTACAGTTTTGTAAAGTCCCGATATGTTTGATTATAAAGATTAATTCATATGGATGAATTGTATTTGATCTATCTACATCGCTGTAAGACTAGCAAAACGTTTTGTAGCTTCTTCATAGCATTTTGAGATTGTTGGATATAAACAATTGAGCAATTGAGGAAATAAAACTACAAATTGCGTGTTAACTACACTATATATTTTTATTTTTTACAATAAAATAAACCATTGCCTTGGTATAAAACATCGTTAAGTAGGTACCGCTTCTTAGATTACCCATAGCGAACGCGCAAAATTGTGTGTATATACATAGAAGTTGTAGATCTAGTAGCTAAGATCACATATTACATCATACTATTGGCAAAAACTATACAGCATTCAATAAAAACAAGGTGGAAAAGTCTGAAATTGCACACAAAAGCACATTTTTTTTTTGATGTTTTTTAGTTGAAAAAAAAATGAATTTTTAGGTTTAAAATATTGATTTTTTTGTACAAATCGATTTTTGTAAATACAAATCTTATGTTTCCGATGCCACTGGTGTGTTTATACAAAAAAAAAAACGTCAACTGCGCAGTGTCTAGTTATATTTCCAGATCGATATCATTTTTGAATTTTGCTCGTATTAGCAATATAAATTTCTTATCATATTAACTGACAAATCGGTATTTTCTAACACCGAAACAACATTATAGCAATATAAGTATTTCTAGACGGTCCAAAACATAGTAAAAAGGAAATACAGTTACTACACTGACGTGTGAGTCATTATAAATTGAAAAACTAGATTTTTTAATAAATTTTAGTTCTAAAAAATGTCATCGACAAGAAATTGAGATTCGTAGACTCAAATCCTCTGCGCATTAATAACTAATTGTATTATTTGACGAAATAAAACGATAAGACTACAAATTGTCCAAACATGGCATTTACATATACGTTGTCCAGCAACTTATTCATCTACATACCGCCATTTTTGAACTAGATGGACATATTTTTGCTTTTATGTATAACTCAGACTAGTTTGAATGCATTCTGGAGTATTCTTTCTCAAAAGGCAATGCAAAATCACAATGTAATGACAACAAATCTAAAATAAATAATTTTTTTCGATTATCAAACCGACCCCGGAAAGCAACCTCATACTACACGCTACATTGATGATGACGTCATAGTGTGAAGTTTGTCACAAGTCTTAGGTTTATAAAACATAAACTAAATTGAAATACTTTCCATCATAATAGTTACTTTTGATATTTTGTACTGAAATATTTCTTAAGTGTTTAAAATGAACTTTTATGAAAATAACATAGTTAATTTCACTTTATTTATAATAAAAAGTTAAACATATAACCTCACGAATGACGTATTTCATCCAAAAATAGCGCATTTGACAGATGTCAACGACTGAAAACTCAAAAATGTTTCCGAGGTTGGTTTTGATAAGTACAGAATAATTTTATAAAAATATTGAATCCTGAAATTTTAGTAAGAAAAGCTCGAATAAAAATTTTAGGATTTAGCTTCTGATAGTCACATAGTGATTAAAGAGGGTTAAAAAGTCACTCCTCAGGCACAAAAAAAACTACTCAATGATTAAAAAAATCTGAGGATCGACGGGAAAAAAGTAAGATTCCTTTTATGTTTAATATCTACAAATGCAGTCTATAGGAACCCAATTAACATTTTTCTATGAGTTTTTGTTTGTATTCAATCATGAATAATCGTTTTTTTCTAATAAAAAATAACAAATTTATATTTTAAACTAGCTGATGTTATGTTCGGCCTGCTTCTTTTTGTAGTCTTGCTGCCACCGCCGCTACTAGAGCCGCTCCGCGACCGCTGCCGTCTTCGGAAAGCATCAAATCAAACTGGAAAGAAAAAAGAAATGAAACAATCAAGATGTTAGTACTTTCAAGAGATATATTTGATGGAAACATAAAAAAAAAGTTTAATTATTTTCTTTGAAACCCTATTTTTATCCCTTTACAGCCTAAGGCTTTTATTTTGAATGTGAATAATCTTAAATTTGTCATTAAAAGAATGATTATGATCTATAAGGTAAAGTGCGTATGTAGAATCGGTTTTTCTATTGTTGAAAGCCCTTTTATGTTCTGCTATTCGTTTATTAAAATTTTTACCAGTCTGACCGATGTAAGTTTTTGGACAGTCGCACATTTAAGTTTGTACACACCACTGCGTGAGTGCTTTTTAATTTGGCTCTTGTTGTTTTTAATATATTTGCCTAGGTTGTTATTTGTTCTGAAAGCTGGTGTTCTTCCTTTCTTTTTTATGTATTTGGCTATTTTTGTTGATATTTTGCCTGTATATGTAATCGAGCAGAAGGTACTGGGGTTTTTCTCTGGTGGTGAAAATATTAATTTCAGAGCTTTTTTTGTGTTGTTTTTGATTTAAAATTTTATCAATTGTTTGTTCGTTGTATCCATTGTTTACTGCTATTTGCTTAATGATATTTAATTCGGTTTCAAAGTTGTATTTTGACATCGGAATTTCTGTTAATCTATGTAACAAACTATAATATGCTGCCAGTTTATGTTGTGTGGGATGGGATGATGAAGTCATGTTTGTTTTTAAGTCTGATAATATTTAAAAATTGATAGTGTTGAAAGAGAAAAAGATAAGAAAGTCTGGCCAATTAGGAGGTCACTCCATACAATGAATATCAAGCTCTTATATAGCTAAATTCAGAATTGAAGCTAGGCGAAGTCGCTTCAAATCATCAACAAGAGAAACGTTGTTTATAAGGCAAATCTAAACTCATCTGTGAATAAACCGTTAAGACATTCTGCTGCAATCCAATATCCCAAACTCTACGGCTAACACGGTTATCAATTTCAAATTAACAAATATTCAATTTCTTCTAGTCATCGTAATGATTAAATGACCGTGTCTTCTAGACATGGGTCGTTCTAGAACACCTCCGTAAAATATATTAGTGATTCTATAAGTTCTACTATCATAACCATCAATCACTCAAGGAACAATGATATTTGAGTGGGATTATCTTGTAGCAAAAGAGCAATAAAAGCGGTACAGTTTTCGAAAAAGATAGCCTTCGTAGTGACATAATGAAAATAATAAAACCTCATGAACTTGTTGTGATAATGCGCTGCAGACAATTAAATGTTTTCAGTAATGTCAGATTTCATAGTTTCGTTCCTAGATTGACGTCACCAAATGAGTCAGTTAGGTTCGAGAGAATTTGTAAGACGAATACAAGATAATATCACAGTGATATTCTACGAAGTCGCTTGGTAGAATTGAAAAAAGTGCTAGAAAATTTGTATTTCGTTGATAAAATATTTTTATGAAAAGATATTTGTCTCAAGTTGATCATTAATAATTATCGGATGCTCACCTCTATACTTGGATCGGCCAATTCTTTGATTTTCTCCATCATGAGGTTGTGGAAATGTGGGTGAAACCTGTATACTGATCCGTCGACGCCAATGGTGACTTTCTTCTCGTCCATTTTGTTAAGTAAAGTAGCCAAACCAGCAGACACTAGATGGGCGGATCTTCTCGATATGCACTCGCAGATGTATCTGATGTTGATGAAATCCTGTTCTGTGGCGTGCTTAAGTCCTAAAACGACAAATCATTCATTCAACTTTTATAAAATCAAAATTCAATTGTAACAATTTAAACTAAATATAAATAACTTATTATTTTCAACATTCAGAATTTAAGTATTAAAATCCAAATTCAGCGTTCAACAAGCGAGAATTTCTTCAAAAATTTAATATTGAAACATCGCGATAAAACTACTCACCTAATTCTTCACAAATATCTCTAAGACCGTTGAATACTCCTGGTGGATCACTTTCTATTTCTGATACGTATTTCGTGTAGAATCGCCCTCTTTCGAACAACATGTCTGATCCCTTTCCGCCGAACAGTAAACCTTCTTTCGTAAATCTTTCTAAAGCCAGTCTCACTAATTCTCCCATGTACATTCCGGAAATCATTTTTTCGTGCCTGAAAATAGAATCAATTAAAAATAAACAATCATAATGAACTATTTGAGTGATCCCGAATTAGATTCCATAATATTTATTCCATATAGACAAAGTCCCTTGACGGAAAACAAAAAGTATTAAAAACCTAGAATGTTCTACATGTCATCGAAATGTTCTAGAAAGTCAGAACATTGAAATTTGGCAATAGTGATTAAGGCCTTAAATATCTGTTTGTGCTTATATGCATTCTGCTGACCAGAAAATTTGATTTTGAAGACGTTAATTCCAAAGTTGCCGAAAGACACGTCGTACCATTCTCGCAAATTTGATTTCACGAAAAAATTGGGGAACAACATCTGGAACGCATCTATTCAATTTCCTTAATGTAACATTCAGTGGCATATAGGAAAACTGCTAAGACTAGGCATCTGAACATTCTAATTTTAATCCCTACACTGATTTCGATAAAATGACGATACCGGACCATCTATTCTCGAAGCGGAAGTAGAAGCTGCTATAAACAATATTAAGGAGAGAAGGGCCGCAGGACCAGACGAGTTCTACTCAGAATTTTTGAAAATTATGGGTAAAGACGAAGTTAAAAGACTTACCTTGATCTTCAACAATATATACCAAAGTGGAAAAATAGCCCAACAGTGGCTAAGATCAACTTTTATAACAATCCCTAAAAAACCCAATGCCAAAAATTGTGAAGATGATCGAATAATAAGCCCTATGAGCCATCTCCTGAAAACTTTTTCAAAAATTATACATAAAAGAATATATAAAAAGTGTGAAGAACACATGCACACACGGATTTCAGCGTTATTGCTGAAAAAATTAGAAAAAAAAAACCCAAAGGTATTGATGGCTCTATACTAAATACAGAACAAAAGAAGAAAAACGACCAAAAATTGATAAATTCGGCATGATTGATAGTAAAATAAATGATGCAAATAAATCTTTAATACTTACTTTTGCTTTCCAGGATTTACAGAGTTTCTATCGATGTCCTCATCATATTCGGTCCTGATGAAGTCCAAAGCACCATCATCTCCAAACGCTCCCCATTCCAAGTTGATCAGTACGTTTCCAGAGCCCATATCCACGTCGCTCCATGTTTCTGCGTTTGCTTGTTTTTCCACGTAACAAGTGTTAGAGCCGGTACCTTCGGTTACCAAAATAAGAATTGTGTTAACTCCTTAATGTCGATAAATGTTATAGGTGGTATGTTACATGATTCTATTTTTAAAACGTTTTATCGTTTAGAACTTTCGATATACAATCACGATTGGGTGATTTTTTTATCGAAATAAAGATATGCCTGTTACGTTCAATGTTGTTAAACAACTATATGAGAATGAGGTATGAAAAATACCGGAATTTGTAAAATTTACATAAGGGAACATATCGAATTTTAATGTGATAAGTGTGTTAGCAATCGTATTGACATGTTAATTGGACAAATTTATGAAAAAAAAATAGTTAACTGATGTTGAAAGTACTTAATAGATTGTAAAGACAACAAAAATTGCCTTTACTTTAATTAAACCTAATTACCCTAATTAAACAATTATTTTTTATAAAAACGTCCCCTCACTGTATTCAATAGCTTTGTTCACGGAGACAGTTCCTGACTAGTTTCGGACCAGTTAGGGATTACTGTTGTGCGCTGGCGTAGTTAGTTAGTAGTTTCCAACTTTAAATTCTCTGCAAATGATTTTCGGACATTCTTACTGTTTTTATGAAGCTAGTTTCTTGTGGCATTTTAAAGTAATTACTATTAAAATGGGAATAAGTCACAATTAAAGGTTAAAGTACTATTATTGTGGCTTATTCCCATTTAAATAGTAATTTCTTACCGTTTCTAACCTCAAAACAGACCAAATGTTCTAAACTTAACCAGAAAGATCACATTTTTGAAAACAAAAGAAAAGCAAAACAACATTTGACGTTCTAAATGTGTTAAATGGCATAGGTAAGTAAAAAAAATTGAAATATTTTAAAAGATTTACTACATATAAAATATTATATAAAAAGACAGCTACATATAAAATATTAAAAAAATCAAGATTATGGTCTACAGTCTACAGCAATCACTGACTTTTCCCATATTCATGTTTGCTCGTTTAGTAGAGTTTTGTTTACGCTGACGACCTTGGTATAGCCCTAAAGGAGAAAACACTCACACAAGTAGAGTCGACAATGGAAGAGGCTTTAAATATGATGTCAACTTACTACAAACAAAACTCATTAACGTCAAACCCTACTAAAACCCAAGTATGTGCATTCCATCTCAACAACCAACTGGCACATGTAAAACCGGTCACTAACGTATAAATTCCACTGTCAGAGCACAAGACAAAAGGTTTCTACGAGAAACAACCTTCTTCGGAAAGTTGTAGGGAGCAAGTGGGGTGCAAACCCCCAGGTTCAACAGCTGACGCCTTATGTTTATCAACAGGGGAATATGCTTGTCCCGTCTGGGGTAGATCTAGACACGCCCAACAAGTCACCACGGCGTTAAATGAAACATGTAGAATAATATCCGGTTGTATGAAGCCTACCCCTCTACACCTACTGTACCGAGTAGCTGGATTCGCATCACCAGACGACCGTAGATGCGCCTCACAACATGTGGAGAAGTTCAAGAAACTTTCGATGAAAGGCATTAATTATACGGGTTTGACGAACCGCCAGGAATCAGCCGACTCAAATCAAGGAAAAAGTTTTTGAGAAATGTCAGCGTCGAACCACCCGAAGTGTTCCCCCTACATCCAGAACGACCTAATGGAATGAACCTGGACTGGAGAACCTGGCGGGCACTCAACCGCATACGCACAGGGGTTGCCCCTGTAAAACAGAACCTCATTAATTGGGGCACCAAGACAGATAGCGACGCACTTTGTGAATGTGGGGAAATACAGAACGTGGAGCACCTGAGAGTATGCAGACGTTGCCCATCACAGTGCACCCTCGATGATTTAGGGCTCGCAAATACAAAGGGTGTAGACGTAGCCCGACATTGGGCAAAAAACGTAGTCGGATCCAGACACGAAAAAATAAAGTAAAGTAAGTAGAGGAATTTTCGTTACTGTTATGTTTTCTTGTATGAAATGAAGACAAACAAAAAACCTGACAATTTACAGTTTCTATAGCGCTTGCGCTGACTAAAAATCCGTCAAACTTTATGTGAAAGTCCCGGATTTTAAAAAAACGAGAGCGCTCAAAACCTAACTGCGCATGCGAATCAGTAATTGATTGTCACGCGAACAAAGCTATTGTATAAATAGGAAGGAAAAGACAGTTAATATTTCGGTCTAATAGGCCTCTTCAGAACGACAATTCATAGTCGCTCTAAACGTGAAAATAAATCTCTTCTGTCTTAGGAAGCAACTCTAATGCTGCTTCGAATGGACGCAAATAGAGACATCTGATATTAAAATCCCTAAACTAATTTTCGAAACCAAATTCAAATTTTTGCTTTAATCTGTGCCTTCTAAGAATTGCAAGGCAAACAGACGTTGATAAAGATGTTATTAGAGACATGGGGAATCTAAAATTTACATTACATGACATATACGTATATCACATATTCACGACATATGACAAAAAATCTCACCGTGAATATATACGCCTTTCGGGGAATTGCCATTATCAATGAACACTTTTTTCTTAGGTCTTTGATATCGTTCTTATTATTGATATAATTTGCTTATTTTTTAAAATGTATTATCACCAATATCAGGATGAACTGAATACGCAAATACATGGTCCAATAATATTCCGATAATTGTTTATAAATTTAATGTATGTTATATATTATCTAAATGACATTTACTTTTGCTTATTATATAAAACAATTCAAAAAAATTATTATTTTGCAAAAAAAGTTCGTGATATATGTTTAAACAAATTAGTTAATTTGCGATTTAGATAAAAAGTTAATTTTTCATTTATATAGTACATGAAAAGCTATATATTTAACAAATAACGTTCAATTATGGTGAATAATTTTCGAGTTATTACAACCTATTTAAATTTGCAGTTACCATTTTACTTTTAATTTTTAATTGCGTTAAATTCATACTTTCCGCACTATTCTCCCAGATGTTTTAAAATTTTAACCTTAAAAATTATTGAAAAGTAATTTTATCTAATATCTAATAGATAGAACAACTCTTCTTTCATTTAAACGTAAAATAGTAAACGTTGGTTAGTTCGTCATAAGGACACTGTATTAATTCTTTCTCTATACCGATATTGTTTTCTCTTTATAGGGATAACTTTTCAACGTTCAATACCGATGGCAAATGTGTTATAGTATTTTTGAAGAAGACTTTTTCGTTTTTTGAAGAAGGTTTTTCATCCACCAGGAAGATGATATGAGTGCTGTGGAAGATTCTATGCGTCTTCAGGACAAGGTCAGGTCAGCTCTGTAGATAGGGAAAAGGAAACCCCGCCAAAGTTCCACGTCTTCTCCAAAATCATAAAGCCCGTCGTTTAGAATGTGCAAGAACACATATTCAGTGGAATACCGGAAACTGGAAAAATGTTCTTTTTACTGATGAGACCAGAATATTATGGAAGCCAGATGGTCAAAACAACGTCTACAGAAGAGTTGCAGAACGATTCGCCAGCTGCAACCTCGCCCAGACCGTTAGTTCTAGAGGTGATGGCATAAATCTTTGGGAAGGTATTAGTTGGGAGGTACGCACCGCACTTGTGGAAGTGATTGAATGGATGACTGGTGACTCTTACGTTTAAAACATCCTACAAGATCATGTTTTGCTGTATGTTGTTTACATTGGATATAAAAGATTCATGTTAATGCACGATAATGCTCGATCACATGCCGCTGCCATAGTGAGCAATTATCTTGATGAAGTCCAAATTGGAAGATTGGATTGGCCACCGTTTAGCCCGGATTTAAATCTAATAGAGCACATGTGGAATCACCTAAAACGCCGCATCATCATCATCATCCAGCCGAATTTTCACATCCATTGTTGGATATAGGCCTCCTCCAAACGTCTCCAGTTCTCTCTATCTCTAGCTGCTGCAATCCAGTTTGTTTCTATCCTCCTTAGGTCGTCGGTCCATCGGGTGGGTAGTCTGCCTCGACTTCGCTTGTCGGCTCTTGGTCTCCACTCCAATAATCTCTTCGTTCATCTTCAGTCTTCCAATCTAGTAACATGTCCAGCCCACCTCCACTTTTGTTTATTGATTCGCAGTATAATATCGTCTACGCCAGTTCGTCGGCGTATCTCCTAATTTCTTACGCGATCTTTCAAGGTCAGGCCCAGCATGGATCTCTCCATTCGCCTTTGTGTTACCCTCAGTTTTTCGGCAGTAGCTTTCGTTAAAGTTAAGGTCTCTGCTCCGTAGGTCAAAACTGGTAAGATGCATTGGTTAAATGCCTTCCTTTTCAGGTGAATTGGGATATTTGTTTTAAAAATGTCTCTCATCCGTCCATATGCCGCCCATCCCAACATGATTCGTCTATTTAGCTCGCAGGTTTGGTTGTCCCTGGTTATTCTAATTTCATGACCCAAGTATGTGTATTTATCGATTAATTCTACCTTGTTGTTATTGATCTGTATCTCTTCGCTGGGAACCATATTGGTCATCATTTTGGTTTTCTCGAAATTTATCTCCAGCCCAGTTTCTTGTAGTATGTCATTCAGTTCTTGGAGCATGTCTTTGATTTCTCCCAGATTATCTGACAGAAGCACGATACCGTTTAATCTTTCTCCATTGATGGATATTCCTTTCCGTTGCCATTTTAGTTTTTTAAATGCATACTCAAGAACGGTAATGAACAGCTTTGGTGACATGGTATCACCTTGCCTGACTCCCCTTTTTATCTTTATTTTATTAATTGCAGAATATAGACTTATGATTGTTGTTGCATTTTCATATATATTTTTAATTATATTACAATATCTGTGGTCGATCCTGCAATCTTGTAGTGCTCTTAAGATGGACGGTAGTTCCACTGTATCAAACGCCTTTTTAAAGTCTACAAATATCAATGCCAAGGGACGGTTATATTCGTTAGTTTTTTCTATTAGGGTTTTTAGGCACTGCAGGTGATCGTTTGTGCCGTAATTAGGGCGAAAACCAGCTTGTTCCCGAGGTTGGTAAAAATCCAGCTTTGTCTCTAATCTGTTCTTTATTATTATAGGCATAGATTAAAGA